ACCTAGAACAGCCATAATAATTAAGGAAAAAACAAAACAAAACAAATTCTTACACTTACTGATACTACCTGATTATAAGACTTAATACAAAGTGACAGTAATCAAAATAGTGTCATTGATCTAAGAGTAAATATGTAGATCAGTGGAACAGAATAGAGTCTTCATATGGTTAGCTTTTTTTGGGGGGTGGTGGAGGTGGTGGTGTTAGTGGTGGTGCTGTGGATTGAACACAGGGGTACCCAACCTCTGAACTACACCCCCAGCTCTTTTTAAGAAAGCACCTTGCTGCRTGTCTGGTCATGTGTCTGGTCAGTTGATTTTTGCAAAGGTCCCAAGGTGATTGGAGAAAAGAATGGTCTTTAAAAGAAATGGTACTGGAAAATTGGATATCCATATAAAACAAAATTTGAGCCTCACCTACACTYTACACTTATATAAAAAATGAACTCAAAATGATTAATAGACCTACATGTTAAAACTAAAACTTATAGGGAAAAGCACAGGAGACATTTTTGTGACTTTGGGATAGATAATTTCTTATGGCACAGTGCCCTACCAAAAATGTGTGAAGTGGACCTTATCAAGATTAAAAACTTGCATTTCAAAAGACACTGTTAAGAAAATGTAAAAATAAACCACAGACTGTGATAAAATGTTCACAATACATGTACCTGATATATGGCTTCTCATCAGAATGTGTAACAAACCTTTATAATTGTCAAAAATACACAGTTAAAAAGTAGATAAAGCATTTGGAAAGATAACCTCACAAAGTTAGACATGGCTAGGGTGGTGGCTCAGTGGTAGAGTGCTTGTTTAGCATGCATGAAGCACTGGGTTCAATCCTCAGCACCACATAAAAATAAAATAAAGACATTGTATCCACCTAAAACTAAAAAATATTTAAAAAAAGTATTTTGAATTTTGAGGTAAAGAAACACTTTGGATAAGACATAAAATTGGGGCTGGGGATGTGGCTCAAGCGGTAGYGCGCTCGCCTGGCATGCGTGTGGCCCGGGTTCGATCCTCAGCACCACATACAAACAAAGATGTGTTGTGTCCGCCGAAAAATAAAAAATAAATATTAAAATTCTCTCTCTCTCTCTCTCTCTCTCTCTCTCTCTCTCTCCCCCCCATCTCTCACTCTCTCTTTAAAAAGAAAAGACATAAAATCTTTGACTATAAAAAGATACATTTCATTATGTAAAAACCTAAAAACATCTTAAAATGAAAACAAGTTTTGAACTTTGAGAAATATTCATAAAGCATAAAGTTAATAAAGACCTGGTTTTTTTTWAAAGTAGTACTCCTTCTGCTTAGAACAGCTAATAAAGATCAATTTGGCTTCAAAGTACAAATACAAATATTCAAAAAGTATGTTTTTGTATGTTTTTTATATTTATATGTGTTTCTGCATGTATGTGTATGTGGATGTATCTATTTGAAGGCATTGGAAAGATAAAAAGGTTGTGAAGAATTGTGAAACCTAGATTTTGAAAAAGTGTATACCTAGAAAGGAGAGTCAAATAAGGACAGCTAATGGCTGAGAATATCCAAAATGTGACAGAGGGACATCAAGAAATAAATTTAGTAAGCCCTGTAATTACGGCAGGATAACTACTTTACATTAYTAAACACCACTGTAGCACATTATTAGAAAAGTCTGAAGTCCAAAGATATACTCTTAAAAATAACCAGTGGAAAAACGTCTGTTCATCTTCAAAGACACAACAGTAAAAATGGCAGTTCATTTCTTTTGGAAACACTTGGAATCTGAAGACAATGAAATGTGCAGAAGTAGAGTAACTGCCATCCTAGAATGCTATAAACACTGAAAATGGGTAAATAAAATAAAGACATTCTAAATTGAGAGCATAAACACCAGAACACACTGAATTGTTCTTTTCCAGTGAAAAGATTATAGGCTCAGATGATAACTTAAAGATGTACGAGTGAATGAAGAGCAACACGGTGGATAATTCTAAGTGAATATTTATTGTATATTCTGAAGAATTAATAAAAAGGTTTATAGGACTGTATATGCCCATACATTTTGTATATGGGTGTACAGAGGAARACAAATAGGAAAATGTAATTAACATATTCTGAAAGTGTTGCATTTTCTGTGAATAGGCAAATGTTCTAACTCATTTGATTTTGATAAGTCAAGGACTATATTGTTATCTTTATGATAACTTTTAAAGATGTTAGTAAAATATATAACTAAAAGGCTAATAAATAAAAAGGCTGAATTTGAGGCTGGGGTTGTAGCTCAGTGGCAGAGTGCTTGCCTAGCACTTGTAAGGCACTGGGTTTGATACTCAGCACCACACAAAAATAAATAAATAAAGGTACTGTGTTTATATACAATTAAAAACAAACAAAAACAAAAAACCTATTTTAAAAAAAAGCTGGATTTTGTAATGTGCACCTGTAGTCCCAATTGTTCTGGAGGCTCAGTCAGGAGGAGCATTTGAACCCATAAGTTCAAGATCAACCTGGTCAACAGAGCAAGTCTGTTTCAAAATGAAAAACTAATAAAGGGAAATGGCTATAATAATAAAAACCAAAAATCCAGAAGAGGACATGGGAAAGAAAGAAGAAYATATGAGATAGACAAGACAAATACGAAATAAATAAGAAAATTGTTTTATACCCTGTGATATCAGTAATTATATTAAAAGATAATTGAATTAAATGTACCAATTAAAAGATAATGATCAGATGAGCACAGTGGTGCACGCCTATAATCCCAGTGGCTTGGGAGGCTGAGGCAGGAGAATCATGAGTTCAAAGCCAGCCTCAGCAAAAGTGAAGTGTTAAGCAACTCAGTGAGACTCTGTCTCTAAATAAAATATAAAATAGGGCTGGCGATGCGGTTCAGTGGTTGAGTACCCCTGAGTTTAATCCCTAGTAATGTGCCCACCCCCAAAATATAATGATCGTCAACTTCATGTAACAAAAAAAAAAAAAAAAAAAACAACAGCAGGGAATTGGAGTGCATGCCTGTAATCCCAATAAATTGGGAGGCTGAGGCAGGAGATTACAGATTTGAGGCCAGCCTCAGTAATTTAGTGAAGCTCTAGGCAACTTCATGAGGCCATAAGCAATTTAGCAGGAAGGATCCTGCCTCAAAATAAAAAATAAGAAAAAAAGAGCTAGGTACGTAGCTCACTGGTAAAGKGCCCTTGGATTTAATTCCCTGTATAAAAACAAACAAAAAACACAAACACAAACYATATAAATGATTTTTACAGATCCTTTCCCTAAAATGTAAGAATCCAGAAAGGTTGAAAGTAAAACTATACAAGATATAAAATTTGGTGACTCTAATGAAAATTGTATCAAAGTAGATTTTGGGCAAAAATATATTAATTACTAACATAGGTATGTTGTAATGATAAAAGGTTCAGTTCCCCATGATGTTATAACACTCTTAAATTTGTACATTATACCATAATTTCAAAGTATAGAAAGCAAAAATGACAAAACTGAAAAACATTAGAAAAACTACACGATGGGAAACTTTAATATATCCTCTCATTAATGAAGAGAGAGGTCAGACAAATAAAACCCAGTAAAGGTGTGAGAGATCTGAACCACTTGATTAAGCAACTTGACCACTTTTCTATTATTTCTCTGCTTAGAAGTCTATTTTACATTTAAAACTGACTTCTTAATTTAAATATTTTCTTTAAAAAATATTTTCATATTAAAGCAATCAGGATTATTTTTATGGAGTAAAAAAAATTGCCACTGCAGCAGTAGCTAAGTTTAACATATAACTCCTTTTTGTATAGATTAACATGATTGTAAATATGAACTGCATACACAAATATATGTACTTGAAGTTCTTCTTAATAATTTAATAAGTGACCAAASTGTACAGACTGGAATGTTGACATACCTAAATGAAAATCTTGAGCAAAATAGTATGAAAAATATGCTTAGAGGCATTTTCCACAAATGCATTATTATTTAGACCTGTATAACTAGCTTTTTCCGAGTTTTGGTACTCATRTATAATGTGAATTTAAAACAATTATTGTGTGTATTTATTGTGTGTATTGTATAGATATAGCACAATGTTATGCGATAAACATAATAGTTATTATAGTAAAGCAAATTAATATGTTCATCATCTTACATAGTTATTCCCCTTTTTGTATAATACAAAATTTTAACTTTGTATATGTTCACAGGGAATTGTCAAGGGAGAAGAAAGGTATAAAATGTGAGTGTAAATTTGGAATTTTGGCTTAGAATTTAATTCAGGTCCTATCTGACTTTATTATAAAAATTCACTTGAAATTATGTTTTTAGATGACACATATTTGAGTGTTTGAATTCAATAGTAGTGATAATTGTTTAAAAAAATACTGTCTACTATTTTGGGCCAGGGCTGGGGATGTAGCTCGGTAGTACCCCTGAGTTCAGTCCCTGATAGTTCAATCCCCGGTACTCCTTCAAAAAAGGTGAAGAAATTTCTTGAATAAATAATAGATCATGTATGTGGAAAATACTGTACAATCAAAAGTGATTCTAACGATCAATTTTTAAAGATACTGACATAATATTTGAAGTTATGTTTGGGGTACAGGTTTATAATTTGATATATGTAATGATCAAATTAAAGTACTTATTAGCTTTTGCATCTCTTCAGATATTATCATTTCTGGGTTTTGGGAACCCTCAGGCTCATCTCTGTAGTTATTTTGAAATGTATAATATTTGTTGTAGACTTTCATTGCTCTACCATGCCATATAACACTTGAACTACTTCCCTCTCCTCTGTGTTTTGGTACCTAATTAGCTACCCTCTCACACTCCTCTTCCCTTCCTAGCCTCTAGTGGCCTCTGTTTTTAATGGCATTGGAAATACCTTTGGTGTTATATATGACACATACTATGAAGAAATTGTTTAGTATATGTATTCTTAACTATAATGTTATAGTAGGGAAGCATGCTGATGATCAGAAATGACTGTTTTTGACATATAGACGCCTCAAGAAGAACATGCTGCTAATGGTCCAGAACTCCTGAGGAAAAAACGTACAACTTCAGCTGAAAGAAATACTTGTCAGCTTTATATTCAAACTGATCATCTTTTCTTTAAATATTATGGAACACGAGAAGCTGTGATTGCCCAGGTATTTATTATTATGTACTATCTTAGGATTTCTCTTTTTTAAAAAATTATAGCTGTATTTCCTTTTAGAAACTAAAGTTAATGAGTATATATCTTTTTTTGGGGAAAAAAAGAGTATTTATTTTCATTGTGATGTGATGAAATATGTAAGATAAAAGCAGAGATAATTGAAAGCCCAGTGAGGATATTTTACAAGAAACTGATTTCCTAAAGGAGATAATGACCCTGAAGCTTTGATGTTTTTTCTTTCCAGTTGGAGGTGGGGTACTATTAAGGATTAAATCTAAAGCCAGCCTCCTTTATGTTAGATAAACATAAAGCTTACCTTTAAAAACACGAGTTCAGTTTTCATTTGTGGTCTTAAGGAGAAAAAGGAGAGAAATTTCTTGCCCAGTTCAATGGTGCATGCCTGTAATCCCAGTGGCTCSGTAGGATGAGACAGTAGGATCATGAGTTCAAAGCTGGCTTCAGCAAAAGCGAGGTGTTAAGCTACTCAATAAGACCCTGTCTCTAAATAAAATAYGAAATAGGGCTGGGGRTGTGGCTTGTGGTTGTGTACCCCTGAGTTCAATTCCTGGTAAACCCCCCACCCATCAAAAAGTATATATATAATTTCTCTCTATATTCTCATTGTACTTAGCATTATTTAAATCAAATTATTATTTGCACTTGTGTCTTCTCAGTCCTTCTCAGTATGAAAGTATAAATTTTTTGAGGGTATCTATCAAAATGTTCTTCATGTTGAAGATACCCAGTGAGAATCTGAACATGTTTTTGACTCAAAGAGTTTGAGACTGACAGTATGGAGCTACCACTAATATAAATGATGAATTCATTATGGTGATAGAATTGAGCTTAATTTTAGACATGTGTAAAAGCCAGGTAATATTCCCTTAGAATATTGAAAATGTGGCACTGGAGCTTGGAGAATGTTAACCTTGAGCTTTCTGCATGGAATTGAAGAGTACAAAAGATATAGTTGAAATGCGAGGAAAGTGAAATTGAAGAAGTAGGGGATATAGTGAATAGGATGAGAAAGAAAAATTAGTAAGGAAAAACACAAAAAGGAGTTAGGAGATTAAGTAGGATTAGACAAGCAACAAACAACACCTTCAAAGCAAGATGTATAGCTAATTGTATCATTGTCAAGAAATCAAAAGAGAATGATTTCAAAAGTTGGTTTTTAGTTGCTAGAAGATTACTGATGAATTGTGAGTTGGCAGAGACCCTGAGTTTCAAGAAATGTAAAAAATTAAAGAAAAATATGGTGGCTTAGAAATGAGATGGAATTTGGGGGGTTACGGGGAATATGTAATACATAAGTTAGTTGGTAGTAAGAGGAAAATGATTCAGTGTGGAAATAATATAAAAGAAAGGCATTGATGTTCTTAAATATCTACAATGCCTTTGAAGAAAAATAGTGTTCTTGAATGTCCAGTAAGAATTGAGATCAAGAATAAAGAAAAATTACCCTTTAAGAAAGAGTTACTCTGAAGAATGTAGAGATGGATAAAGATAGGGAAGTTTAAAGGTAAAAACAAGGGGAAGTCAAGTGAACCACGAGCATTTCTCTTGAGAAATATTTGAACCACCATTGTTGGGAATGGAGTAGAAATAATGAAAATTGACTATAGCATTGATTGGTAGGCAGCTGCAGTTAGCATGAATTTATAATGGGTCCTATCAGCACTGTTATACCTTTTATTAGCAATGTTGGGCAGTTGGGGCCACTTTTGAAATTTTTATTGTGAATGCTTTTCCTTGATCATCTTGTATTACGTTTCTTCAAAAATAATTTTGACAGCTGGGGATGTGGCTTAGAGGTAGAGCATCTGCCGGGCATGGGGCTCTGGATTCCATCCCTAGCACCATACACACACACAGACACACACTGACACACACACACACAGAGACACACAGACACAATCACAGTATATATGTGTTGCCACATAAAATGGTAGCAAGATTGCTTTTTGTAAATGAAGTTGGGAAGATTGTATACAGAGAGGGGTTTGTGTGTGTGTGTGTGTGTGTGTGTGTGTGTGTGTGTGTGTGTATGTGTATATGTATATAGAAGATAGAGTTGAGTTGGGAGTCAACTAGATAAACAGAAGCCTTTTGTGTCCTGTTGCTGTGTTTATCTCTTTTAGAATTTAGTAAAATCTGACTGTCTTTTTTTTTAAATTTATTTTTTAGTTGTAGATGGATACTATATACATATACACACACACACACACACACATACACACATACACACACACACATATATATAATTTTTTGTGTGTGTGATGCTGAGGATCGAATCCAGTGCCTCATGCATGCTAGGCGAGCGCTTTACCTCTGAGCCATAACCCCAGCCCTGTGACTGTGTCTTTTTTATTTTCATATTATCTTCTTCTTCCACTCCCAAGAAAAACCTTTCCTGTTTTGCTCACCAGTATGTCTGCAGGGCCTAAAACAGTTTTAGTATATGGAAAGTGTAACAAAGCTTATAGAACATGCATTAGTCCAGCAATAGAAGGACTAAAGGCTGGGAATACTGAGTGTTCTGATTATTTTCAGGGAAGTTATTACAGAAAATATTTGAGCTGAGTCTTAAGGATAAATAAAGATATTCTAGGCATGAAAAAAATAGGCATATGACATTGAATGATGGGCATATGAAACAGTTTTTATATGACTTAAAGCAAGAATAATGCCTTTCTTTTGGCTACAAAAGAGTCTAGAAAGACACAGTCTCTTTCCTCTCAGCCCTAGCTCACTAACCTTTTTCTTTCTTCTCTCAGCCCTGGCTCACTAATCTTTATTTTTCTACTGTTCAATATATAATATAGACATTAAAATTTAAATGCTTTTGAATATAAGTAATGCTTGATTTTGGAAATGGAAATTAATAATTTTCTTAATATTTCATCATTGCTTCTAAAATGTTTTTTTTTTTCTTTTTTAACTGATAGATATCCAGTCATGTTAAAGCGATTGATACAATTTACCAGACCACAGACTTCTCTGGGATCCGTAACATCAGTTTCATGGTGAAACGCATAAGAGTAAGGAACTTCAATAATTGAAGACATTAAAAAAGTGGAACAAAAAGGACTTTSTTTATAAAATGAAAAATGCTTGCTTTTTTCTTCATCTTTATGCATTAAATAATTTATATCTACTGATGCCGTTTATCTGTACTCTTGTCCTTTATACACAGTGGGATACTTGGGTTTATCATTTAAGAGTTAAATCCGTAGAAATAAAGTTGTACAGTTTTTTATTGGATTAATTTACAGTTAAGAAAGCCCTAACCTCTCAGTAACTTACAGGTACAGTACTTGACTTTAACCCTGTTATGTCATTTCCTAGTTTCTTAAAGATTTGCCTTGTGCAGTGTTTTTCATAGTGTGTCCCATTTGGTGTTCCAGGAGAAAGGGAAAATAGAATGTTTAAATAAAATTGGAACTTGGAAAAACACTTAATGTTATAATCTTGAAAATTCACAGTTTACATGAACTTGTGTCAAGTTTTGAGCAGTCTTTAGGGAAGGAAAACCATATTTATCTAAATTAATTTGAGCATGGAAACTTTTTAAATTAATATCACCTGGATCTCCAAAAAAAACCACTAGAAAACACATGTTAAGAAATGGTGATCCAAAGCCATAGGGCCATAGATTATTACTTCTGCTGTTATAAATGATAAATATTAAATTACTGACAAAATCGGGCTCTTTCAAAAATTTTATAAATATATGTACATAGCTTGTAAGGATCTGAATTTATAAACTAGATCTACATTCTGAGTGTTTTCTTTTTTTTTAAGTCAGCCTCTTACAAAAGTATTTGCCCCAGGGTTTCTTTATATTTTTGCTTTCCTATTTCTCTTAAAACATGGTTGACTAGATTAAAAAAATGTATATATTATAAAAATTTTAGCACATATACATGATATATTTAATAATAGTTGTAGATGGCTCTTACTTTTAAGGGTAGTATATAATCGTTAAATTGAATTATCTTAAGGTGGAAATACAGTTTGTAGATTTATATTATAAAAATATTCATAATCATTGCTTTCATATATTCTGAGGGAAATAAAATCTTTAAATGAGAAAGTAAAAGTGATAAGTGGTTTAGTATTGCTGTTTAATAGACAGCAGTAAAATGTAAAGCAGCGGCGAGAACACTTGTGAAGTATATATATCTATTTTTKGGTGAAGTATATATATTTGGTAAAGTATATATATCTATTTTTTGAGTAAAGTGATTTTATGAAGAAATAGATGTTTAGAGATAAATTATGTGGCAGTTGGTTGTTTTCTAACCTTAATTGACATGAAAACTTGAGTTTAAATCTCATCTGATGAAGACTGTATATAACTCATTAAATAATTTAAAATTTATATTCTGTCAGTAAATATTTAAATTTTGATTATCTGTCTTTAATATAGGTAACTAAAATTCAAATGCAAATTTTACTTGTAGCCAGTGTTATAGAAGTGTCAGAGAATTTCATAGTTATTTCTATATTTAGTAGGAGAAGGCCACATATATCATGGCTTTAAGCATGGTTATTTATAATATATTGTTGCTTTATTTGAATTGTTTTGTAGTAAATGACTTATAACTGAATAGTTTTGGTTAATTGTTAATGGATAAATCGAATGTTTTGAATGAAATCCATCCTTAGGCTATTGCCCTCAGTAGTGTTTTTATCATCCTGCTTCTGAACCTCTTGTTTTTACTGGAGCATATGCATCATGAAAAGACCTATAGTTCTTGTTGTATCCATCATACCATCCCCTCACTACCAATTTTTTAAAACAGACTGAGGTTTCCCTTCTAGAAAAACATTTACTTTCATATATACTTATTTTAAATTAATTTTATTTCATTTTAAACATATACCCTTTTAAAATCAATTCTTTAAACCTTCCCCTCACTGGGTATTGAGTTGAACCTAGGGTCTCTCTACCACTGAGCTACATCCCTAGCCCTTTTCATTTTTTTCTTTTGAGACAGGGTCTCACCAGGTTGCCCAGGCAGCTTTGTGATCCTCCTTCCTCAGCCTCACAAGTACTTGGAATTCTAAGTATATACTACCATTCCCACCCAGCTCTATTTTGTATGTAATTTCTGGCTCACCTGGAGAAAGTCACCTGGTGACTGTTCTCACCAGAGAAGAGTCAGGGGTCTTTTAAAGGAGGCAGGGGTTAATAAATTAAAGCTTTTATTTTGTAGAAGTTTAGTATTAGAACAGATTATTCTTCAGATTGTGAAAGAGGTACGTGCACCAGGAATATAGTAGCTAAGTATGAAAAGAAAAATTTGTAGGAACTTAGCTTGAAATAGTAAGAGAAACAAATTTAAAAGCAGAAAGAAAACAAAATTCTCTCATATTCAGGGAAACAAAAATGAACTTTTGGTTAGGTGGGCTTAACTCCTGTGACTCTAGTTAAGGAGAACCAAAAAAAAAAAAAAAATGATTCACCTGCTGTACTGGCAGTCTTGGGTTTAATATCACTTTTGTGTTTAATTAGCAAACATATAGGGTTTTATTATACTTGTCACTATGTAGGAGAGTAACACTAAATGAGACTTGTTTAGATGATTGAATTTGAGAAATCCTATTTTTATTCCAATTTTGGAAGCAAATGTGTTCTATTCAAATGCTCAATGTTCAGGAATCTGGTGACTACTTGCTCAGAAATTTAACGTCTTCAATTTAATTCTCCTACTTTGCTTTATTTGGTTCTCTCTTTCATTTTTATTTTTTTCTCATTTATTTTTTTATTTGACTTCTATGATCAGATAAGGGATCTGGGTTGGGGAAACATTCCTAGTAGCCTTAATTAAGTACTGATTACCCTTAGACTCTGAGTATATTGTCCATGTGGGTATGGAAGGAGAGAAGCAATCAACATTTATTGTGTTATTTAAGTTATTATTTTGGATTTTAGATCAATACAACCGCTGATGAAAAGGACTCTACAAATCCTTTCCGTTTTCCAAATATTGGTGTAGAGAAGTTTCTGGAATTGAATTCTGAGCAGAATCATGATGACTACTGTTTAGCCTATGTCTTCACAGACCGAGATTTTGATGATGGTGTTCTTGGTCTAGCTTGGGTTGGAGCACCTTCAGGTAGGTTATCTAATTATTTCATAACTTAATCCTTGAAACACAGAGTGATTTTCAGAGAAGACTGAATTTTACAAAATGTCAGAGAAAGTGATGTCTATATAATATCTTAATTTATGCTGCTCAAGGTTAGGCAAGATTGATGAATATGATGTAAACAGCAAAATAGATGAAGTGCTTTATCATTTTTAAGTGATCGTAAGGAAATGTCCTGACATTTGGTATATTCAGTGGATGAAATAATTTTAGGGGAAAATTTTTTTCCACAGAAGTTAAATTTCCTTTTTCCTTTAAAGAGATAAGCTATAATATTTCAGTATCACTTTGGGTAATTGTTATGACAATAGGATTAGCAATGGACTAGGGGCTAGGAGTCTGAGGTTTTATCTGCTCTCTTCAAAAATTTAAGCAAAACACTTGGCTTCAACTTGTTTAATTTACATATAATTTCTTCTCTTTACTCTTCTTTTAGACCTCATTTTTCTGCCTGTTAGATTTAGCATGCTTGCTGTTATCTTATTCTTTCTAGATAACGCTTYATAGCTGATTATTCAGTTTGTAATAAATTATTGACCTAATCTTTCATTTTTATTTGGCCTAATTTTAAAAAAAATATATGACAGTAGAATGCATTTAGAAACATTGTACACAAATAGAGCATAACTTCTCATTCCTCTGGGAGTACAATGTGCAGAATCACTCCAGTAGTGTAATTGTACATGTATATAGGGTAGTAATGTCTGTCTCATTCTACCTTCCTTCCCATCCCCACAGCCCCACCCCTCCTCTCACTCCTCTCTACACAAACCCAAGTTCCTTCATTCTTTCTATCCCTCCACCCCACTATGGATCAGCATCCACTTACAGAGAAAGCATTTGGCTTTTGGTTTTTTAATATTGGCTTATTTCACTTAGCATGATATTTTCTAGTTTCATCCATTTACCTGCAAATGCCATAATTTCATTCTTATTTAAGGATGAGTAATATTCCATTGCGTTTATCCATTCATCTGTTGAAGGGCATCTAGGTTGGGTCCATAGTTTAGCTATTGTGAATTGAGCTTCTGTAAACATTGATGTGGCTGTGTCACTGTATGTAGTATGCGATTTTTAAGTCCTTTAGGTATAAACCGAGGAGTGGGATAGCTGGGTCAAATGGTGGTTCCATTCCAAGTTTTCTGAGGAATCTCCTTAGTGCTTTCTAGAGTGATTGCACTGGTTTGCAGTCTCACCAACAATGTATGAGTATACCTTTTCCCTCACATCCTCTCCAACACTTATTATTGCTTGTATTCTTGATAATTGCCATTCTGATTAAAGTGAGATGAAATCTTAAGAGTACTGATGAACATGTTTTCGTATGTTTGTTGATTGACTGTATTTTTTCTTCTGTGAAGTGACTGTTCAGTTCCTTAGCCCATTTATTGATTGAGTTATTATTATTTTTTTTAGTGTTAAGTTTTTTAAGTTCTTTACATATTCTGGAGATTAGTGCTCTATCTGAGTTTCGTGTGGTAAAGGTTTTTTTCCTATTCTATGGGTGCTCTCATCACATTATTGATTGTTTCCTTTGCTGAAAAGAAGCCTTTTAGTTTGAATCCATCCTATTTATTGATTCTTTATTTTACTTCTTGTTCTTTAGGAGTCTTGTTAAGGAAGTCAGGTCCTAAGCCAACATGATGAACCAACATTTCTTCTATTAGGCACAGGGTCTCTGTTCTATTGTCTAAGTCTTTGAGTTGATTTTTGTGCAGGGCGAGAGACAGAGGATTAATTTCATTTTGCTACATGTGGATTTCCATTTTTCTCAGCACCATTTGATGAAGAGGCTATCTTTTCTCTGATGTATGTTTTTGGTGCTTTTGTTTAGTATGTATTTATGTGGGTTTGTCTGTGTGTCTTCTATTTTTCTACATGTTTGTTTTGGTACCAATACCATGCCATTTTTTTTTTTTTTTGTTACTATTGCTTTGTAGTATAGTTTAAGGTTCGGTATTGTGATGCCTCCTCTTTCACTATTTTTGCTGAGGATTACTTTGGCTATTCTGGGTCTCTTATTTTTCTATTAGWTGGCCTAATTTTTTTTTAACATCCTTATTCTATTGTATAATTTGGCTTAATTTCATTTAGTTCTACAGATAGTTCGTTATTCAAAAATATGGTGGTAGAATGGATTTTATTGTTTTATTGGCATGTTAGTTCTTACAGAGTAGTTACTCAGAGATTATGAACTTCAGTTCTCTTAACTGATTTATTTGAGCTAGGAAAAACATTGAGTGTTGAAACATTTGAATAGTAAGTTTTTTGTGTTTGAATCTGTTTTTTACAGTTTTTCTCATTTTCTGTATTTGTAGTTTTCTTTTGTGGTACTAAGAATCAAACCCCAGGGTCTTGTGCATGCTGGGCATGCTGCTATATATTTTTAAATTTTTTCCTTTTCTTTTTGGTGCATTATAATTATATATAATGGTAGGCTTTATTGTTACGTATTTGTACATGCACACAATATAACAGTATAATTTGGTCATTATCATTTCCCAGTATTTCTCCCTTTTTCTCGCCTCCTTCTTTGGCCTTAGTCCTATTGTGCTGATCTCTCTGAGATTTTCATGAGAGATCCTCCCCTAGTTTCTTTTCCTTTCTTTTCTCCTTTCTGGCTTCTACCTATGAAAGAAAACATGTGACCCTTGACTTTCTAAGTTTGCCTTATTTTTCTTAAACACAGTGGTTTCAAGTTCCATCCATTTTCTTACACTGACATAATTTCATTCTTTTTTATAGCTGAATAAAACTCCATTCTCTGTGTGTGTGTGTGTATATATATATATATATGTATATGCACATATATACATATATATGTATATATATTACATTTCTTTATCCATTCATCCATTGATGGACACCTACACTGGATTCCATAGTTGGGCTATTGTGAATTGTGCTGCTATAAACATGGATATGCACGAACCTTATAGTATGATGACTTATTGATTCTTTAGGATAAATACTGAGGATTGGTATAGCTGGTTGTATATTGTGGTTCCATGCCTAGCCTTTTGAGGAACTGCCATACTGATTTCCATGGTGGTTATACTAATGTACAATCCCACCAACAGTGTAAAAGTGTTCTTTTTTTTTCCCATTATCTTTTCCAGCCTTTATTATTGTTTGCATTTTTAATGACATTCTGACTGGAGTGAGATAAAATCTCCTTGTAGTTTTGATTTGTATTTCCCTGATTGCTACTGAATATTTTTTCATATATTTGTTGACCATTTGTATTTCTTYTTTTGAGAAATGTCATTTTAGTTCATTTGCCAATTTATTAACTTTTTTGATGTTAAGTTTTTTGTCTGTATATATTCTGGATATTAATCTTTTTGTTTTTGTTGTTTTTTTACTGAATATTGAACGCAGAGGTTCTTAACCACTGAACCACATCCCYAGCCCTTTCCATTGTTTATTTTGAGACAGGGTTTCACTAAGTTGCTTAGGGCCTTAATAAGTTGCTGAGGATGGCTTTGAACTTGTGATCCTATTGCTTAGTCTCCTGAATCACTGTAATTACAGGTGTGTGCCATTGTACCCAGCTTTAATATTAAGATTATGTCAGAAGAGTAGCTAGAAAGATTTTCTCCTCTTCTGTAGGTTCTCTCTTCAATTTTGAATTGTTTCCTTCGCTGTATAGAAGCTTTTAAATTTGATACTATCTCATTTATTAACTGTTGGCATTATTTCCTGAGCCTATAAGGGTCCTATTAAAAAAGTCATTGCTTGTACCTATCTGTTGGAGAGTGACCTTACAGTTTCTTCAAGGAGTTGCATAGTTCCTGATCTAATTCCTAGGTCTTTGATCCATTTTGAGTTGACTTTAGTGCAGGAGAAGAGATAGGGTCTAGTCTCATTCTTCTACGTTTTCCCTGCCCGATTTGTTAAAAAGGCTCTTTTCTCCAGTGTATGTTTTTGTCATCTTTGTTAAGGATCAGATGACTGTATTGGTGTGGAGTTTTCTCTGTGTCTTTTATTCTATTCATTGTTCTATCTATGTGTATGTTTTTATGACAGTACTAAGTGTGAGTGTGGTGTTTGTTTTAAATCATAGTTTCGTAGTATAATTTGAAATCAGGTATTGCTTTTTTGAATTACTTTGTTCTGGGTCTTCTTTTCTTCCAAATGAATTGTAAGACTTTTTTTTTTTTTTTCTAGTTCTATGAAGAATGTCATTGGTGTTTTGATGGGGATTGCACTTAATCTGTATATTGCTCTTTGCAGTATGGCCATTTTAACAATATTAATTCTGCCTATCTGGGTACCTGGGAAGTCTTTCCATCTTCTTGTGTCTTTCAGTTTATCTCTTTAGTACTACATAGTTTTTA